AAATATATTTCACTACTTTGATATCAGAACAAACTTCAACATTCATATGACAATTATACTTGCATAGCAAAAATGGATTATATGGAACAACCCAAGAATTATCCAGAAACTCACCTCTTACTTTTACAGCTTCTCCGGTTCTTCTCCTTTTGTATATTGGATATGAATTCTTCCCTTTTGATGTTTGTTCAGCAAAATCTTTTGGATACTTGAATTTGCAGTTATTATTTTTCATGCAAATATTTGTAGGATTTAACTTTCCACAAGGACCATGCATCATATGTTTAATAACAAGTGAATATAGATCGTGATCTTTTTTAGAATCAGGCAATTCTGCACAAACAAATTTATCATAGGATTCAGGAGTCAATAATTTGTGCTCATCAGCAAGTATAATAAGAAAATGAGCATGTGGAAGACCACGTTTTTGAAATTCTATAGTATACATGAATGCTGCAACTCTTCCAAAGATTTGTCTTTTTAATATATCCGTCTTTAATTCTTCTACCTTTGCTCTGAAAACTCGACTAACTAAATCAGGTCTGTTCTGTACTTCATCGGACAGTGATAAATGTTCTTTTATTTCTGGCCAAGCAGGATTACATGTCATTGTTATAAAGAAATCAAGTTTTCCAAAATATTGTACCAATGCGATAGCATCCATGTATCGCCGGCGCATGTCCCTTGGTCCCCCTATAAATGTAACAGGGAGGAATGTTTTCTTTCCAATTTTAGAGGCTTCCCTTTCACCATATCTTAAAATATCAAGGAGTCCTTGCAAGACTTCAATTCTAAATAAATCTGGATTAAATGACAAGAAGTCTAATCTTTGCGTTTCAAGCTTTATATATACATCTACTATAAATTGTTGGAATATTCTCCCACAATGTAGCACTTCATTTGTTTCATTATCTCTTAGTTGAAATTTGTAACAATAATACTCTCGACAAGACACTGTATCTCTTTTTCGTTTTCCTTTTTGTAGTGATTCATCTTCCATATCAAGAAATCCATCAATTGAACACATATTTGATATACCGGGCAATTATTCATGTTCACAGTAAGCTCTACGTTTCGTCACATTTTTTGTCTGAACAATTTTTTTGATTCCACAATGCCATCCATTTTCACCGAAGGAAAATAATAATGGATACTGCAACGGATCATAACATCCATAATAATAATGTACTAACCGAGATCTATTACTGTGAGTATAAATTCGAATATGTGGTGCATATGTGTCTCTAGGATTTTCTTCAAGCCATAATGCCGCGATCTCTGATGCACTGGGTAAGTTATATGTTCGTTGATCTAAGGTTGAGTGACATTTAAGAGCAATATAGAAATCAGATAATTGAGGAACATTTAAGAGAGATCTTAGGAAAATAGTATATGGATTTACCTTCAGTATGTCCATCAACTTTTTCACTATTGATTCATTAATTCTTGTCGAACAAGACATCCTATTGGCTAGTTCATTATCATGATCGTAGAAGTACAGCTGTAAATTCCTAGGTTTTTCATTGGAAGGAACTAAATCATCTATAAAATGATACATTTATCCTTGGACTCTAAATGTGTAGATACCACAATTTCTTCTCGCTAGCTCTTTATCATACTTGACACCAAGTGAAGTAAATGCAAACATGTTATTGTACGTTCTAATATAAGTTCGGAAATTTTCAGATTCTTCAGTATTTCCAAAGTATAACTCCGATAATTCAGTTGGCATTTTATGAGATGTCAACCTTATTGAACCATTGTTACAGCAAAATCCTGGAGGTTCATATTCAAACTTCTTTGCATGACAAAATTGACAATTTGGGACCCTTTTTAGAGCAACATACTCACTTCGTTGCTCTTTAGTGACCAGGCACACATTTTTGGCCCGCCTATGAGCTGAATATATAAGAAGTATCATTAGGAAAAAAGGAGCACCAAGGCATACGTATGGTGGACATTATTGTAACATTAAGTTTGTGCAAACCTTTGATTGGTACGGTGTTCAAGGTAACATGACGCAGGTTAGATGTACCCGATGTGGACCCTATTGTACAAATAGGAGAATTTACAGTAATGTATAAACAATATGTCATTTTGAAAAGAGTATAATTTGAATGTAGGTTTACCTGTTTCACGAATGATAGGGGGGTCCAATGTACCCTTTCCTTTGTCTAAATTAGGAGATGACGTAGTCATACATGCTTGATAGCTAGCAGCTGGTAAACAAAATAGCCAAAATGTTTAAAAGCGTACAACGAACCCTCAATAGATGCAAAATACTGTGTAAAAGAGCACGTAGTATTATGTTTTTTAGTTTATAGATACATATAAGATAAATAAGCTGTGATATTCAATCTCTAAGGAAAATAAGCATCGTTATATTAATAATATTCTCCGTATAAATATGAGTACAATAATATATAACCAAAAAGGCAGCGAAAAAGGTTCTCGTATGGTTACCTGTTTCACAAATGATAGGGGGATCCAATATACCTTTGCCTTTTTCTAAATTATCCTGCGATGTAGCCGTGCAAGCTTGATGGCTGACAACTGGTAAACAGAATAGCAAAGACGCTTAAAAGCATATAGTGAAGCCTCTGTAGGTGCAAAATAGACTGCAATAAACCACATAGTATTTGAGTATTTTAGTTTATAGGAACATATAAGATAAATAAAGTATCATACTTAGTTTCCAAGCGAAATACATAAGCACTATTGCGTTAATAATATATGGTGTGTAAATATGAGTACAACAATATAACCTTTTTCAGGAAGTGAAGGAGGTTCTCGTATGGTATGACCAATTTGTTTCAGAAATCCTGCTTTGTCCCAAGATGATGTTGACTGCTCTGGGACAGCGAAAATCGAGTGTTGAAGAAGGCTGTGCTTAGTAGAATCTTGTCTTCTCATACGTCGCGATAGCAACATCACTTCCCTTCTATGAGCAGATATTTGGCTTTGCGTATCACGCCGTTTGAGTTGCATTGTAGCCTTTCTTTTTTCCGCGTAAGAGCACTTTTGCTTCTTTGGAATCCATCAGCTTTACAAGTTCAACTTCTTTTTATCTGTAAAATATTTTCAGCCCAAATTTTTCATGAAATATTCAAGCCTAAAAATGTGTCACCGCCTACCGCTTATCCAAAATCAAAATTACCGCCAATGATAAGACTGATTCAATCAAGAATTTTCTGAAGCACATGACATATTAAACTTTCTGTGCACAAAGGCTTAGCATGGCATAAAAGATACAACAGAGAAACAGAAGATGACAAGAAAGCTCACAACAAATTAGCACACCTAGCATAAAAAATTGTTCCCAATTTATTCTTTTCTTTCTTTCTTCTTCTTTAACACATCAACATTCATTTAGTTGTTTGTCATCCAAAAATAATATAATTTCTTTAGCATACATGTGAGAGTAGCAAAAAATCTACATGTATATCTGGGGAGAGCACCAAAGGGCACGTATATAGCTAATGAGAAATGACTCAAATTCCTTCAAGCTTCTTTAAAAAGATTCCAAGCAGACATGTCGAAAGTCTTGCTCTTCTAAAGAAGAGAAAAGAAAAGCCTCCTTTCCCTGATATATCTATAAACTTTAGATTTGGTAATTCTTTTGAGTTTTGAGCAGCTAATAGTTAATCATGGAATTCTTTAAAGGATAAACCAATGATCAATAAGTACATTTCTGTAATGTTACAGGCTCAATTGTGTTAATGGCAAATGTTACTTTTTTGAAAAAAGCTACTGAAAATCAAAGGCAATATCAGTTTTTGTCAATTAACAAACCACATATGATAGTCTGTTTTTATTGAATTGCGTGAAGATCAGTTTATAATTGGTTAATTAGCTGGAATACGGCAGGGCAATGTTAGAAAAGAGAGCTCTTGTTAGGTGTAGTTAAACCTAAAACAATAAGAGAAATCTTGAAAAAGACCTAATTCATTCAGGAATTACCTCGAACACCTGAAGAACAAAGGTTATAGACACTTTAAACTTTCTGTGCAGCAAAGCCTTCGCATTCCATGAAAGATTAAATAGAGAAACAGAAGATAAGAAGAAGAAAACTCACAAAAAATAATGACCCAAAGAGAAAAATTGGCGATAAGATCAGCAATTGGGAGGAGCGAAAAGGTGGAACTGGGAAACTGCAATTTCCAGACGTTGGAGCTCTTAAACTATTGCTAGATTGGTTTTTGATATAGAGAACCTGCATCTGCCAATTTTTTCAAAGAGCTGTCTGCCTGGTACCGATAAGAACAAGAGAGTAAGAAGACAGAAGCCAAAGAAGCGGTGATTGCCAGGTTTTCTGAAGTGATCGATATAATCCAAGCGAAGGTAACCGATAAGAACAAGAAGAGCAAGAAGACAGAAGCCAAAGAAGCGGTGGTTGCCAGGTTTTCTGAAGTGGGCGATATAATCCAAGCGAAGCTAATAAAAATTAGATGGAAAGACAATACTACCCCTGAAGTGTGAGGCAGGCATGTCGTCCAGGTGTCTGCTAACTCTCCCTTATTAGATAGGAGAATTTAAATCATTTTTTTCCAATTCTCTTATCCATAAATTTAAACAATTTCCATCTTGTTCAAAGAAAATGTTTCTTATTACAGCATTGGCCGCTCTATAAAAAATACTGACAAATTAGTTTTTCTAATCCACAATTTTATATGCGCAATTCTTCTAACATTAATATGCCTATTTCGTCTTATTTCATACTAATGTTTTTCTTAAAAGGTTTTACTAATCGTATATTTTCATTTTAATTATTTTGGCTCCTAGAATCTTCGTATCATTTTTTTAGATAAATGTAAATTTGCTAATTTTAATTAACTGCCCAGAAAAATGTAAAATATAAAAAAAAAAATGATTCAATTTCTGACAATATTTTGTAAAATAAATTTTTTTAATTTTCTATTCCATTTCTATCTTACCCGAAAATATTGCTTATGTATATCTCTTCCTTTTTCCTTGGCGCCATTGTATGGGTCCAAATTTAGCAACCACGACAGTAATCGAGTAGGACAAGGGACGATATTATCATGACGCAACGTCTGATGGTCGTCGTGATAAAGGACGACGACCAAGAACGGTCGGTCGAAATGAGGTGTTAACGGTAGTGAAACTTAGGAGGAGACAGTAAGAATATGCTTTTCGAATATTCTTTATGTTGTACTTTTTAGGGTTTCTTGGGAGATTATCCCTTATAAAGAAGAAGAGTTAGTAAAGAAAAGGGGGATCGAAAAAAGACAGAGGAACACCTTGTAAAAGATTTATCTGAGAAAATATACTAGAAAAGCCTTATTCATTGATTGCATTACAAAAAGATACATTGTTGTTCTACATTGACAAGGCCAAAAGATTCCTCAAACATCTCGTATCTCTCTTCTTNTATCCAGAATTGCAACAACTATAGGGGTATCAAGTTACTAAGTCATACCATGAAAGTCTGGGAGAGGGTGGTGGAAATGAGGATAAGGAGGGCGGTGTCTATATCGAAAAACCAGTTCGGGTTCATGCCGGGCCGTTCTACTACGGAAGCTATCCACCTTATCAGGAGGTTGGTGGAACTATACAGGGATAGGAAAAGGGATTTACATATGGTGTTTATTGACCTAGAGAAGGCATATGACAAGGTCCCTAGGGACGTCCTTTGGAGGTGTCTGGAGGTAAAAGGTGTGCCGGTGGCTTACATTAGGGCGATAAAGGATATGTATGATGGAGCTATGACTCGGGTTAGGACTGTGGGAGGTGACGCAGAGCTTTTTCCGGTGGTTATGGGATTACACCAAGGATCTGCGCTCAGCCCGTTCTTATTTGCTATGGCGATGGACGCACTGACACACCATATCCAAGGAAAGGTGCCATGGTGTATGTTGTTCGCTGATGATATAGTTCTAATTGATGAGACGCGAGTCGGCGTTAATGGGAGACTGGAGGTATGGAGGCAGACTCTAGATAAATGTTTCAAGTTGAGTAGGACTAAGACAGAATATGTGGAATGTAAGTTCAGCAACGTGACGGGAGAAGCGGATGTAGAAGTTAGGCTTGACTCACAGGTCATCCCCAAGAGAGAAAGTTTTAAGAACTTAGGGTCAATTATCCAGGGAGATGAGGAGATCGGTGGGGATGTTACGCACCGTATAGGAGTAGGGTGGATGAAATGGAGGTTGGCGTCTGGATTCCTGTGTGACAAGAACGTGCCACCGAAACTCAAAGGTAAGTTCGTAAAGCGGTGGTTAGACCGGCCATGTTGTATGGAGCTGAGTGTTGGCCAGTCAAGAATTCACATATCCAGAAGATGAAAGTAGCAGAAATGAGGATGTTGAGATGGATGTGTGGGCACACTAGGCTGGATAAGATTCGGAATGAAGATATTCGGGAGAGGGTGGGCGTGGCTCCCGTGGACGATAAGATGCGGGAAGCGCGGCTTAGATGGTTCGGACACGTGTGGAGGAGAAGCCTAGATGCACCGGTTAGGAGGTGTGAGCGGTTGACCTTGGCAGGTACGAGAAGAGGCAGAGGGCGACCTAGGAAGTATTGGGGCGAGGTGATCAGGCAGGACATGGCGTGACTTCAGATTTCCGAGGACATGACTCTTGATAGGAACATGTGGAGGTCGAGCATTAGGATGGTAGGCTAGGGGGTAGTCGAGAGTTCTTCCCTCTTGGTACCGGGGAGTCTGTTAGAGTTTTGTTAGGTTTGTTAGCGGTCTTTGTTGTATTCACATTGGTATTTTGCATAGTTTTGTCTTATTGTCCTTTCACTTATTTGTTTGGGTTATTTTCTTTCTGGTATCTTTTATTGTTACATGTCTTTTCTCTTATTTCTTTTCTGATATTACTGCCTTTCCTGTTGAGCCGAGAGTCTCCTGGAAACAGCCTCTCTACCCTTTTCGGGGTAGGGGTAAGGTCTGCGTACACTTTACTCTCTCCAGACCCCACTAGTGAGATTTTACTGGGTATGTTGTTGTTGTAAGATTTAATTATTCCACCATAATACACAAAGATGGGTCCCCAAAGAAGGTTGGGGTATGTGTTGGTGCTCCCAATATTAAGGGGAAAAAATGGGCACCTGAAAAAGTTATATATGTAATGAATTATTATGAGCACACCTAGATCCTCGTACAAGAAAATGTGAATTTGAAGTTCAAATGATAATTTATTTGTAAAATATTGGCACGCACATTTGCTTTCCCAAAGCTGAATGTCATATTTCACATGGTAATGCTCCAAATAGAATAAAGTCCATGATGGACAGAGCCTATGGCACACATGATGCGTAATAGATTAATCGGTTCCTAAAATAAAACTCCTTGAAGAGGAGAGGAGCAAATGATCAAGATGACCACAATAAGGAGGCAAGTGCTCTATAAGAGCTCCATGACATAACACTTTATAAGACCTTATGGGAAGGCTTAGGTACCTTAAAATAATGAGATTTCGATAAGTTATGTCTGTATTGAATGATGCTGGAATCGATATAAAATGGTCGTCGATAATATTGTTGATATAATGTGACGCTCAATATTATTAGTATCGACGAGGATCTTGAGATCAAATCTGTTATGGAATTTGGACAGATAAATAATTGGCCAAATGAAAAATACGCAATGACCATTGACTTCACCTTAAAAATGTAAAGTTGGATAGTCCCAACACCTAAAAGTATAAAGCCAGTGAAGGTATAAATATGATCGTGTGTGAAAAGTTTAATGAAAAATCAAGTCAATAGAGCGCATAAAGATTTATAAATATCCTGGCATTGATTGTATGGAGACATGTTTTCCTGTGGTGGATGTAGTCATTTCAGGTTTTGGTGACAATACATTTGGTATGTGTATAATGAAAAACCTTGAAGGATTTATATTGTTCTAAAGCATATTAAGGTTCCCAAGAATTTATTAAATAAAGCTTCAGCAAATCATTATGTGGATTAGAGCAATCATGGCGTATATGATTTGTTTTTGTGTCTAGTGCAATTGGTGCACTAATGTATCTTGCTAGAACCATGAGCATAACAATATGCTTGCAAGATATAATTTTACTCCTATTTGAAGATATTGAAATACGATTAGTGTTATATCGCAAAAGGAATCTTTGATATAAATTTGTTTATTCTAAGAAATATTGTCAAAGTTTTGCTGATTATGCAAATGCAGGGCTAAAATTCGTTCTTTAAGCAATCTATTTGCATGTGAGGGCATTATCATATTATGATATTCTACAAAGGCTGTCAATTATTGATTCAAGTCATGCCGAGATATTAGCAACCCAAAAATCAAGTGAGTCAACACACACCAAATGTGTGATTTTTCTTTGAAAAAGAAGATTTCAGTAATATTGAAAACTCAGAGCTTGTTTATCTTAATTGGAAGAACGATATATTGAAGGCAACAAAATAAAGCACATTTTACTAAAGGTCTTTTCAGACATGTCTTCGACAGATTGGTGATATAGATGTTCAATAAATTTATTTGATTGATAATTTGGTGGATCTGTTCAATGAATCATTACCAACCTCAATATTTGAGAAGTTGGTATATGGGATTGGAATGCATCAGTTCCGAAAAGTAAAGTGATGTTTTTATCAGGGGGAGTAAGATAGGCGCTGCACTCTTTTTCCCTTAGCTAAAGTTTTATCCTACTGGATTTTCCTGGCAAGGTTTTTAACGAGGCAGCAAACAATGCGAGATATGTGTACTCTTTTTCCTTCACTAAGATTTTTTCCCATAGGATTTTTTCTTAGTAAGGTTTTAACGAGGCACATTATATATAGACATCCAAGGGGGAGTGTTATGAAATATTATATTATATAGTGGATGTCTATAACTCCTAAAGAAGTTACTCCTACTATTCTTCTCCATTAACCTCCCACTACCTCTTACCATTATTGTTGTAACCCCCGAACCTCCATAACCCTAGTGGTTAAGCCACATGGTCACAAAGGTGGTCAATTGACCACCCTTCGTCGAAAAATTACATTGTGTACATAGGTAAAATATTATGTTTTAAAGGTATATAATACAAATTGAACACCCTTTGTTGGGATTTTTTTTACTTCTTTAAGATTTGAATACCCTTGGGAAAATTTCTAGCTTCGCCACTGCATAACCCCCTCCATGATCTTCACTCATGATCTCAATAGTTAGTACCATGTTCATGACATCTCTTTGTATTACCTAAATGTCATCTTATAAATAGAGGGTTGAGCATCACATTGTATACACTTGAATACATGAAAGAAATAAGAATCTCTCATCTCTTGCTTCCTACATTCTTATTTATTTTCTTGTTTTATATTATTACGTCGAGCTAAATTTGTTAACATTATTCGTATATTTACGCCTCAATTTCGAATTTTATGAAGTCAGTAATGATCTATATGCATATGTGTACGAGTCTATATGGATACTAGACTCATGGCAAGTACTAGACCTAACGTATACCAACCTTTGTTTCCAAAAAAAAAAAGAAGGTTTTTATTAGTGCACAAAGGAAAAAGAAGTGTCCATATAATAACAACAAAACATTTTACAACCCAACCTGGTAAGGCATGCTCCCAAGAGACCTCGTGTAGAAGAGAAATAGAAAACCTAACTAAGCTATAGCAAATGAGTTTCAAAATCTAGGAATATGCACGAGTACAAAATAAGACTATATGTTGCATTGTTCCAGCGGGGATGGATTTGGGGGGGGGGGGGGTAAGTTGGCAGCGAACTCACTCGGAATACTATAAAACCTGTTGATTTCAAATATTCCGAATGTTATTTTTGCATCCATGAAGCTCATAAAGCTTGGTAGTGCAGGCCAAAAACCCGACGATTGCTTCCATTTTTTGGTCTCAAGAGCATTATCTTCTGTTAAAAACCGGACTAATCTCCACAAAGTTCATTCTCTCATAGTAATTTCAGGCCAGCACCAATCAACATTCTTCTGTGGAAAACTCATTTCAAAGTACTCCGAGTTCAAAGACCCTGTTTCTTCATTATCTATTTTCCGCATAAATTCACCTACCCATAATGTTTACTTATGGAATACTATCATTAGAGCCATGACCCATAATGGGTTATTCTCTAAAGCATTAGACTTTTATACCCAAATGAGAAAATTAAATGTTAAGCCGGATAATTATACTTTTCCTTCGATTATTAGTTCGTGTGGCAACTTATTGGATCTTAAAATGGCTGAAATTGTTCATGATGATGTTTTGGGAATGGGTTTTGGATCAGATTTGTATATATGTAATGCTTTGATTGATATGTATGCGAGGATGAAGGAATTAGGGAGAGCGCGTGAGGTGTTTGATAAAATGCCTCATAGAGATGTGGTTTCTTGGAATAGTTTGATTTCGGGGTATAGTGCGAATGGGTATTGGGAAGAGGCGGTGGAAACTTTTCGGGAGGGAAGGTTATTGGGTGTTGTTGCTGATACTTTTACTGTGTCAAGTGTTTTACCTGCATGTGGGGGTTTGATGGAGGTTGAACAGGGTCAGATAGTTCATGGGTTGGTGGAGAAGAATGGAATTAAGGGAGATATGACTGTGAGTAACGGACTTCTTTCGATGTACTTTAAGTTTGAGAGGTTGTTGGACTGTCAGAGAATCTTTGATGAGATGATAGTTAGAGATACTGTCACTTGGAATATCATTATTTGTGGGTTTTCTCGCTCCGGGTTGCATCAGGAGTCCATCAACTTGTTTCGAGAAATGGTTTGTGAGTATCAGCCGGATCTGCTTACAATTACTTCTGTTTTACAAGCTTGTGGACATTTGGGGGATTTGAGATTTGGAAGATATGTTCATGACTTTATTTTGAAACACAGATATGAATGTGATACTACTGCTAGCAATATCATTATTAACATGTATGCAAAATGTGGTGATTTAGCAGCTGCAAGGCAAGTATTTGACAACATGAAAAGTTGGGATTTGGTCTCATGGAACTCAATGATTAGTGGTTATGTTGAAAGTGGGTTTAATAAGGAAGCAGTAGATCTGTTTAAGATAATGAGGATAGACTTGCAACCGGATTTTGTCACCTTTGTGACACTTCTGTCAACCTGTACAAAGTTGATGGACATGGATTTCGCAAGAGAGCTCCACTCTGATATAATTAAGAGAGGATATGATTCCACTCTTATTGTGGGCAATGCTCTTCTAGATGTGTATGCCAAATGTGGCAAAATGGAGCATTCAGTGTGGCAATTTGAAATTATGAATACTAGAGATATTGTAACGTGGAATACTATTATTGCTGCATGTGGTCATAATGAAGGAAGTTACGTAGGTTTAAAGATGCTCAGTAGGATGAGAATGGAAGGTATCATGCCTGATGTTGCTACCATTTTAGGTTCGCTGCCTTTGTGTTCCTTGCTTGCTGCCAAAAGACAGGGGAAAGAGCTGCATGGCTTCATTATCAGGCTCAGTTTTGAGTCACATGTCCCTGTTGGAAATGCACTGATCGAAATGTACTCCAAAACTGGGAGTTTAAAGAATGCAATATCGGTCTTTGAGCACATGAGGATCAAAGACGTGGTGACGTGGACAACAATGATATCTGCATATGGAATGTATGGCGAAGGAATGAAAGCTCTCAGATCTTTTCAAGAGATGAAGGAGAAGGGTACTATTCCAGATCATATTGTTTTTGTTGCCGTTATATATGCATGTAGCCATTCTTGTTTAGTGCAAGAAGGTCGTGCTTTCTTTAACCAAATGAGAAAAGAATATAACATTGAGCCTAGGATTGAACATTATGCTTGCATGGTTGATCTTTTATCACGTTCTGGGCTACTAGCTGAAGCGGAGGACTTTATCCTTTCTATGCCGCTGCAGCCTGATGCAAGTATGTGGGGAGCTCTACTCAGTGCTTGTCGAGCTAGTGGAGATACCAAGACTGCTGAACGTGTTGTAGAACGTCTTGTTGAATTGAACTCTGACGATCCGGGGTATAATGTTTTAGCTTCCAACGTATATGCCACTTTGGGGAAGTGGGACCAAGTGAGAACAATACGAAAATCCTTGAAAGCTAGAGGACTCAAAAAAGGCCCAGGATGTAGTTGGATTGAAATTCGCAACAGAGTTTTTATTTTTGGCACTGGGGATAGGTCCTTTCAACAATACAAACAAGTCAATGAGCTCATACGGGACCTCAACAATGCAATGGATAAGGAAGGTTATGTTGCTGACTTAAAATTTGTTCTGCATGATGTTGGTGAAGATGAGAAGATAAATTTTCTTTGTGGGCATAGTGAAAGACTTGCTATAGCGTTTGGATTGCTGAACACAAAAGAAGGTTCACCTTTGCAAGTAATGAAGAATCTCCGGGTTTGTGGGGATTGCCACACTTGGACCAAGTATGTGTCAAAAATTGTGCAGAGGGAAATACTAGTTAGAGATGCAAATCGCTTTCACTTGTTTAAGGATGGGACATGTAGCTGCAGAGACTACTGGTGATTAAAGTCTGTCGTCCTTCCTCATACTTAGCAGATAAAAAGATTCCTACGATTGAAGAAATTAAGGATTTATCATTTGGAAACAATCTGGAGGTTAAATATCTCTCTGCTTGTTAGAATTGTGAGGTTTCAAGCTATATCTCCTGTACTATTACGTTTCTACCTTAAGTTGCAGGACTGGTGCACTATTTGACTTTGAAAAGAGATGCAAAAGTATTAAGGATCTTCGTATCTGGTAAAATCTTCACTTTTTAAAGATAAAATTGCTGTTATAGAGTTTGTGAGCCATCTCCAGCGTGCTTTTTACTTCTGTGTATTCCTGTTAACTCATTATTAGGGTATTTCATTAGAAACTCCTTTATGCTGTGACAAAATTTCAGATAAAATGGTTGTACTTTTATCTTCATTCCTTATTTTGTTTTAATTTTGGCCATTGTCATTGAAGGGCCTGCTTCTTTCTAGTGGAATAGCGTGCCTACTTTCTCATTCGGAGGTCAAAAGATACAGATACATACAAAGGTATACTACTATATTTCTTTTCTGGTAGGTTAAAAGTACATAAATTTCTTGCTGTGATACACCTGGTATTGGACGTTTAATTCAATAGTCCAACCATTTAAATCTCATAAGTCAGTAGTTTTGTCCTGTTTATCATGTATGGGTTTATACATACATCAAGAAAAAGAATATACCTGGTAGATCCGTGAGCTTCTTTTCGATTGATCTTTTCATTCGTCCATCATATCTTTTTGTTGCTTCTATCAGTCTGATCATAATTCCAGAAAATAAAGGTTTACATGACAAATTAAACACCATTATTGTTAATGACCTCACTAGGTTCTGGGACTGTTATCCGAGCAATCAAAAGCTTGATCATAGCCCACCGGGGTTCGAGATATAAGTGGCAGAAGAAAAATGAAAGCTGTCTATAATTATAAGCTAGATATTTCATGGTAACTCGTGTTACTAATTCATTCATTGAATATCTTTCTTGCCCGTATGAAGAATGTGGAATAGCAGGAACCAGCAAAATACTCCTAAAGGGAACGAACGCAGAACGTGAGCTACTTTGATTTCAACTTTGTGCTAGGTGCATGGAGGAAACTTGTATGTAACAATCAAGGGTGTCCTAAGTGGATTTTTATGCTTACTTTAGCTGGTCATGGCAGATTGACTACCAGGGATAGGCTGGTTAGATGGGGTGTAACTGCTGATCAAGTATGCCCTCTTTGTTCTGTAGAGAATGAAAGTGTAGAGCATTTGTTCTTCAGGTGTGACTGAATGGGCTGCCAGAATGTGGTTGAAGTTGTTACAGTGGCAGGGTATATGTAGAGCCAGTCATGGGCTGGGAGGATGAATTGGCCTTGACAGGAAGTCTTATGCAGGGGAAAACTGCTGGGGCTGCAGTATTTGGAATTGTGCTTGCAGGTGCAATTTACTTTATATGGCAAGAAAGAAATATGAGAGTTTTTCAGGGTAAACAAAGAAATGCTGAAGTGGTTACAAAGCTGCTTATACAAAAGACATTCTGCAGAGGAACTATGAAATGCAGTTTGACAAGAAGACTGGAGCAACTCAATTACTATCATAGCATGTATTAGATAATTTTCTTTTGACTAGGCTGTGTAGTAGGTTGAACTGGAGCTGTATGAAATTGGGATGAAATTCCACTTTCAGCTCTTTTTTGTACTGTACATAATGATTACTTGGTAATTAAAATTTTTTATTCACCCCCAAAAGAAAAGACTTTGTGCTAGCTACTTCCTCACTGTTTTTGCCAAGATATTCTACTGCTGCAAGCTGAGCACATAGCTATTTCTGTGGGTATTAGAAACTGTAAGAATATCTAGGATATCTTCACTTTAAAATGAATAATTTTTCAGTACTCTAACAGTAACAATTTGATCTTTTGAAATAAAATTACTGTACAATTTATTACTTAATGGACACTTGAAAATTACATCTGCAGTGTTACTTCAGGTAGCAAGTAAAGATAGCCAAGTAAGAATTTCATAACTTTTATTCCTGATAGTCCAGAAAACATCCAAAACTTGATACAAGCGGCTTAGCCATCAGCTGATGGAGTTTGTTGTTATTTCCATGAACTATAATACAGCAGCAACTTTCACAAACTAGTTCATTTAGCAGCAAGTGCTTTCTGGTAATTTTCATGAAGCAGCTGGAATTTGGTTACTAATTTGTCTCGAGGTGGCCAGTGTTCTTTGATTACTGGAGCATCATAAAAGTTATTCATCCATGCTGATAAGAGAGGTAATTTGGCTGCATCAAGCAACTTCAGGTCGATTACCTCTTCAAATACATCAAGAAGATATGCCAACCAACCAAGTGAAAGGTCCAGGTATCCTATTTCCTCTCCACCAAAAAATTTCTTCTCTTTCAGTTGCTCTTCAAGGAGTTCTAGATTTTGTACTGCTGGACCAAGAGCTTCGTTTTTCTCGTTTCCTTGTCCTGTGAAAACACTCCATATTGATGGCAGAAGCTGCAGATGAAAAAAGCATCAGCGAATATTTTACTCATTCTTGAAAAGGTAAGCTTATTGTTATAACTGGAAATGTCTACTATCTGAGTAATACTCACTATTATCTTGTCACTCTCTTCACATATTAATACTGATACATGAAGATAGTTGACTGAAATTCTTCTTCTCTTTGTTCTGAATTTAATAGATTAATGGTTTCTTACCTTGTCATCCCCAAATTTTGCCCAAAAACGCGCTATGGCTTTCTCGTAAGGGTCCTGAGGTAACAAAGGAGCTTCCTTCCAAGTCTCGTCAATATACTCGAGAATCACCAGTGATTCACAGATTGGTTTGCCTTTGTGTACAAGCACAGGAATCTTTTTGTGAACAGGATTATGCTGCAGGAGTTCAGGGCTCTTCTGACTTAAATCTTCAAAAATGGTGTCATAATGGATTCCTTTGATATGTAGTGCCCAAACGGCCCTCAAACCAAATGGGCTTGACCATGTTCTGTGAAGCTTGAGTTCTTCTCCCATGTTGTTTTGCAAGTGATATCTGAAAGCTAAGTCTATTTATACACTCAGCTTGTTCTTTTATTTGACAAAAAATGATGTATAATGGAGTATATGTCTAGATATTCATGTGCTTGGAATTTTCTTCCTTAGCATAATTCTGAACCAAACTTTGATGTCAGCCATTGCGTTGCAAAGCGTGGAATTTTCTCAATTGCTAGTAGACAAATATGGACTAATCTGCTTCGTTTGGAATCTTTGGATGGGATCACGAAATTCTTACATTAAGCTAAAGAATGATTTGGACTTGCCTTATCACAACTTTGTTACCAGAGATGACAACTCCAATGATTTGTTTCACTTGGTCTTTTGTGTTGACTTGTTCTTTGTCTTGTCCTGAGAGGGACATTCGCGTTCATCTGGTAGTACATGGTGATAGAAGCTTTGTACCTCAAAAATCTCAAGAATTTTATTAAGTATTCAAGTCGATTCCACATTTTCATTAGTTTCAACACTTTAGCACCCCTAATTATATTTTCTACTAGTGTTCTCAGAATTTTTCTAGTACCCAAAGAGCGGAAGGTAACATCTTTTGATTCATATTTTCTTATTTCTTTCCGTTATCAAAAGCGTTACGAGATGGAATTATCAATGGTTAAAAATATGAAAATAGCACGGGCTAGCCAGTTTTCGGACTAGTAATTGAAAAATAATCAGCGTTTGCAAAGTCATTGGAAAATAGTCATTGTTTTGATGAAACACGGAAAGTTCCAGCATAATATGCGTGATAATGGAGCTCCTGTGCATAAACTTACAGCATATTATGTTGGAACTCCAGCGCATTATGAAATTCCGGCATATTATGCTGGAAGCTCATATGCAAAGAATTCGAACTCCAACATATTATGCTGGAATATTTCCTGATTTTTAAGGGAGTTTTTGTTCAGATTTTATCTTTACATGAAAAAGTGGCTAAATTTCGATTACTTTTGAAACTGTGGCTATTTTCAATTACCAGTTGCATATCTGGCTATTTTTTATTTTTTCCTGTTAAAAATGTGAAATGTTTATTTTTGGTAAAAATAGCACGGGCTAGCCAATTTTCGGACTGGTCATTCAAAAATAGCTAGCGTTTGCAAAGTCATTAAAAAATAACCACTATTTTGCTGCAACACGGAAAGTTCCAGCATAATATACTGGAGATCGATGCACATGTGTATGAACTTTCAGCATATTATGCTGGAACTCTAACACGCAGAAAGTTCCAGTATAATATACTGGACCGGAATATTATACTAGAATTCCAGTATATTATACTAGATTTCCAGTCTACTTATGCTGGAATTCCAGTATATTATACTGGAGTATTTTTTCGGATTTTGAACAGTATTTTCGTTCAGATTTATCTTTACATGAAAAGTGGCTAACTTTTGATTAATTTTGAAACTGTGACTATTTTTGAATGACCACTTGTAAATCTGGCTATTTTTGAATTTCTCCCTTATTTTTGGGCTTATATGGCCCATCTACCTAACAGAAGCCTTCTACTAGCCCAGTGCTATAATTGGCCTTTTTACACAAATAGCCACTACCCTGAAGTCACCTGGTCTGAAATTTAAAATCTAAAACTAACTCTTCAGACCATGAATCTAATTTTTAAAAAGTGATCAACTTCCAAATACTAGGCCTCAAAAGTGGTCACCCTGTGCGAATAATTTCCGCGGGAACACTTCCTTGTGCTCGTAGTCTTATTCAAGTGATATCACAAATTTTCAGGGAAAGAAATTCATCACAAATTTCAAAATCTACTAGTAGCAAATTTGATTTCTACACTTGGAGCGAAATTACTGATCTCATTGCTAGTACCATAATTTGATTAGAATATTCATCATGGATGATAATTGAATATTAAAACCAAAAATATCAAAATTTTTATTATTATGCATAGACGGCTCAAATGGGCTTCACACATTTGCTTTAGGAGCGTAAAGTCTTATTCTTGGATTCGTTATGTGAGTTCCAATGCAAACTCGTTGTACAATTGGAACTCAAGAATTACTAGCTATTTTAAGAAAGGTGATGTTGAGGCGGCATGCAAGCTGTTTGATGAAATGCCCCAAAAGAATGTAGTAACGTGGAACTGTATGATATCTGGGTATATCAGAAATGGGATGATTAATCCTGCTCAAAAAGTGTTTGATGCAATGCCTAGCAGAAATGTTGTTTCTTGGACAGCCATGTTAAGCGGGTATGCCAAAAATGGGAATTTAGAGGTGGCACGGCGTATGTTTGATGGAATGGATGATAAGAATGTGGTTTGCTGGAATTCAATGATCTCGGGGTATGTGAGCAATGGGAGATTAGAGGAAGGTAGAGAATTGTTTGATCTGATGCAGATTAAGAATGATGTGTCATGGGCGATTATGATTGAAGGCTATTTCAGATATGGGGATGTGAGTGAAGCTGAGAGGTTGTTTAGTGAAGCACCAGTGAAAAGTGTGCCATTTTGTAATGCTATGTTAGCAGGTTATGCTGAAATGCGGAGGACTGAGGATGCAGATAAGTTATTTATGAGAATGGATACGCATGATGTGGCTTCTTGGACTAGTATGATCACGTGCTTCTCAAGAGCGAGGGAGGTGGAGAAAGCTAGAAGTTTATTTGATGATATGCCTGAGAAGGATGTAGTCGCTTGGACTGCCATGATTCAAGGGTACTGTGAAAATAATAACATAGAGGAGGCAGAAAAACTTTTTGCTGCAATGCCTCACAGGGATATTATTGCTTGGAATTCAATGCTAAGTGGTTATCTGCAGAACGGAAAACTGCAAGATGCTCTTCACCTGTTTCATAAGATGCCTTGGCAGAATACAGTATCATGGAATTTGATGTTATGGGGTTATGTTCAGCAAGATGATATAACTAATGCTCGAGAGTTGTTTGAGCAGATGCCTAGAAAAGATGAAACCTCGTGGAACACTATGGTTTCGGGATATCAAAATGAGGAAGCTTTGCTTTTATATGTCCAGATGTTGCGAAATAATTACAAGCCGGATCAGAGCACATTTTCCAATGTGGTCTCATTGTGTGGTGTTCTTGCTTTGCATGCTTGGGGAAGAACTTTGCATGCCTGTGTAACCAAGAGTGGCTTTCAAAATGACACAATGATAACGAGTGCATTCATATCCATGTATTCTAGGTGTGGATTTATAAATGCTGCTTCCTCGCTTTTCAGAAATATGAAAAGATCCGACACAATAGCATGGAATGCCATGATTGTATCACAAGCATGTCATGGTTCGGCTAAAGAGGCCCTTGATCTTTTTCCTTGTATGATTCAAGCTGGATATGAACCAGACCATGTAACTTTTCTTGGTGTCCTAACTGCATGTGCTCATTCTGGATTAGTGGACATGGGTTGGAGCTACTTTATATCAATGGAGAAAAGGTGGAGTATAATTCCAAAGGCTGAGCACTATAATTGCATGGTTGATCTCCTTGGGAGATCAGGTATGCTAGCTGAAGCCTTCGAGCTTGTCAAACAAATTCCTGTAGATCTCCCTGCACATGCTTGGGAGACATTACTTAGTTGTTGTAGAGTCCACGAAAATTTTGATTTAGGTGATCTTGTAGCGCAGAAACTTCTAAGCCTTCAGCCTTCTAATATTGGAATGTGTGTCCTTTTATCAAATATGTATTCTGCAAGAGGAATGTGGAAAGATGCAGCTCGTGTGAGAGCACTACTTAAAAAGTTGGATTTGAAGAAAGAATTGGCATGTAGTTGGATTGAGATAAATGGTTGTATATCTCAGTTTGTTTCAAATGAAAGGTGTAATCCCAGAGCAAAGGACATATACAAAGAACTAAAAAGTCTTTCTGCACTGATTGAGGATAGTGGCACAGTAATGTATCAGGGATGCTATTCAAAATTCAGTTCTTCTGAAGAAATTAATGTTTCTTAACATGTTTTTTCCCTGTATTCCTATCTATAAAAGTTCCTGAGTAGAATTTCTGGTTCCTTCTTGATGAATTCATCTAGGATTGGAACATTACCCAATAGCCTTCAAATCTCATTAAGAGGTTGGTTCTTCAAACATCTCTAAATTGAAGAGCTACGCATGTGAATCTTGTGCACATGCATCAACTTAAAGCTTCTCTTTCTTCACAGATGTTGCTTGATATCTGTTACAGATGCTAGTCCAGTATGTGATTTTATGAAGACCTGAAACCTTATGCTTGACGAAAGTACTCTCGGTGTTAGTCAGAGTTGGGTGCAATTACTGGTGAAAGCCGTGAGTTTTGGAAGGTAAGTTCAAAATTAAGCAGTTTTACATTTTATTTATGAGAGCTAGATGAAAATCTTGAATATAGTTGTGCTTGACAAAAGTGAAAATCGAATTAAGCTCCTGCAGACTATTAGGATAAAATTTTCGAATGCCTTGAACATGATAGCCTCTATATATTCATCAATGAGAAAACAGAAATGTTTATGCTATGCTTTAGAGGAACTTTTAAACTGAATACTAGTAAGTTTTCGCATGCAAGGTAGGAGATGTAGGGTAGGATACTCATATATCTTTTGACTTATGAACTTAGTAAATTAAGTATAAATAAATACAACATTAAGAATATGCACATAGCTAATAAAAAATAGACATGGACTTATAAAATCACCAGTCAATTCTGTCCTATAAAATCATAATCTAAACTAAGATAGGTTATAATCTAAATTTTAGATAGAGCAGTTAACTTGAAATAAAGAATTAAAGTATTATAATTTAAAAGATTACGTATAGTGGGGATTGAGAATGTACGGGTAAAATATACTGCTTGGGATAGGGGGAGAAAATGTCTATAGTGTAAAATTGGAGAGAGAATTTGATTTTGAAGACAATAGGAGGGACAAAATGATTTTCACTCATAAAATTGCTTTAAAGAACCAAAAAACCTAAGTTTTGTCCAACTTCATGACAATTTTTTCTGTCTTTTGTATTAATAAGGTTAAAATTAATGATTACCATTTCATATTTTGTAAACAACCTTCCGCTTTAAACGCTTTTCTTCTTTCCTGTCTGAAATTGTCCTTCCTGTTGTTTCTTTTTTGCATCTCAGGAAAAACAGGTACCCGAAAAAGAAAATAGGAAAAAGAGAGACCTTGATTGCATGATCTCCATTAGAGGGGAAGGAGGAGGAAGAATCTGGAAGAGAGAAAAAAGACGACAATGAAAGAAAAACAAAGAACATACTAGAGTAAGGGAGGGAGAAGGGAAAAGGAAAACAAAGAATAGAAGAAAAGAAATCAACGGAAAGAAAAGAAATAGATCCTTCTATAGGGATATAAAAAGGAAAATATTTGTAGAGGGACAATGGAGGAGAGGGAGGGGGATTTGAGGGTTCCTCTGATCTCTTCCTTGTTCTGTCTTTGTGTACTAATGGGTGGTGTCCTCCTTGTTCTCTACCTTTTCGTGCCAGATCACTCCCAGCCATGGTTTCCAGCTGCAGGATTGATCTTGATTGGTTCTCCCTACATATTTTGGCTCCTGACTTACTTTTACACCGGCATGAAACGATGCTGTTTTGGCGACAGCAGCGTTGACAACCGCCAGATTTCAAGGCGCACCTCAAGGGCTGCCACAATGGCAAACCCTGGGGTGGCCAGGACTGATTCCAAGGCAAATGCTGCGGCTTCTAATAACAATAGCATTAACAATGGCAAACAAGAAAGTGGCCATATCCAACAAGATGGAGGAGATGCATCATCCATCAACTCTGCAAAGGAAATTGAGATGCCTTTAGCCTTATCAGTTGCTTCTTCATGAAATGAATACTTTATCAAGAAATGATCTGGTGAGGTGGATTGATAAATGGCTGCATTATGCATGAGCTATCACAGGACCGAGAGATTTGGATTTGCTGAGATAATTTATAATTCAAGGATCATGTCATCATTCAGGAGCTGTTAAGGATGGTGAAGATGCGTGATAATGGTGAATGTAAGTAGAAATAGCACAAACAGATATTTTAACTTGTCTTGGTATTTACAAAAATTGAACAAACAAAAAACTGCTCTTCTTGTTTCATAGGTAGTTCTCTCTTATTTCCTATTTAGTCTCTTCCCCTCTCTCCTCCCCCAACTTTTCTTAGGTTCTCTTGAAACATCAAGTTCAACCTATACAGTACTCTCCCTTTTAGTGATTACAGAATATCAATGATAAATTTGGTATAGTATACCTTCTTGTTCTATCTCAGATTCCGTACGTGGTCAGTCTATGTGGTTAATTGGTATGCATAATTAGAATTTGACTTAAGGATTGAGGTTTACCAGTATGAAGCATAAAACATATTGATCATGTTTTAATCGTCATATGATGCTGCCAGAATTTGTTAATGGAAGTATAAAGTAGGTGCAAAACTAAGAGATTATGTAGCCAGGCAGTAGGCAAAGTAGTTGCACAATCTTTTGACTAGTTCCGATTTGACTATAGATGGGAGACACACAAGGAAACAATGGAAAGGAACTAACCAATTAAAAGTGTCAACAAGTGAGCCCGTGTATCCTAATGAGAAGTTAAATACAGCTAGGATGGCATCAATAGAAAGGGAGAGAGATTATTGTTAGGCTATATATAAAGCTTTTAACGTGAAAATAGCACATGGTAGCAGGTTTTCGGACCGGTAATCGAAAAATGGTCAGCATTTGTAAAGTCATTGAAAAATAGCCACTGTTTTGTTGAAACACAGAAAGTTGCAGCATAATCTGCGGGATTGTGGAGCTCTTGCGTATAAACTTTCCGCATATTGAAACTCCATCATACAGAAAGTTCCATCATAATATGTTGGATATGGAGCTCTTCATTCCCGCATAAGTAATAAAAATGTGACGCTATTATGAATTAAAAAATTTCAAAAGGTTCACCTCATTAATCTCTAGATAATTGTTTCATATTGTGAGAAAGCACGGGAGAAAATATATTATTGATGTATATACATATGTTACAATGAGCCCTATATATATACACACATAACATGTCCTACTCCTAACATATATTGGATTAGGGTTATTTATTTACTCCTATTTACATGACTATTCTAACACTCCCCCTCAAGCTGGTGCATATAAATCATATGTACCAAGCTTGTTACATATGTAGTTAATACGAGGACCAGTGAGGGACTTGGTGAAAATATCTGCAAGCTGATCATTCGACTTCACAAACTTTGTAGCAATATCTCCCGAGAGTATCTTTTCTCTAACAAAGTGACAGTCAATCTCAATGTGTTTAGTTCTCTCATGGAACACTGGATTTGACGCAATATGAAGAGCAGCTTGATTATCACACACAAGTCCCATCTGACTAATCTCACCAAATTTCAACTCCTTGAGCAACTGTTTGATCCAAATTAGCTCACATGTCGCCATAGCCATTGCTCGATATTCTGCTTCTGCACTAGACCGAGCAAACCACATTCTGTTTCTTGCTCTTCCACGGACACCAAATTTCCTCCTACCAAGACACAATATCCAGACGTAGAACGTCTATCAGAAGGTGATCCTGCCCAATCAGCATCTGAGTATCCAACGATCTGCTCATGGCCTCGACCCTCAAACAATAAACCTTTGCCTGGAGCTGATTTTATATACCGAAGAATGCGAACAACTGCATCCCAATGACTATCACATGGAGAATCCATAAACTGACTCACAACACTCACAGAAAAGGAAATGTCAGGTCTTGTCACTGTAAGGTAATTTAATTTACCAACCAACCGTCTATATCTTGCAGGATCGCTAAGAGGTTTCCCCTGTCCTGGCATAAGTTTAGAATTCGGATCCATCGGAGTGTCAACCGGTCTACAACCTGTCATTCCTGTCTCTTCAAGAATATCTAAGGCATACTTTCGTTGTGAGATCACAACACCTGAGCTAGACTGAGCGACCTCAATACCCAGAAAATACTTTAGTTTGCCCAGATCCTTAGTCTGAAAGTGTTGCAAGAGATGTTGCTTCAATTTAGTAATACCATCCTGGTCATTGCCGGTAATAACAATGTCGTCAACATAGACCACCAGATAAATACAGAGACTCGAGGCAGAATGCCGATAGAATACAGAGTGATCAGCTTCACTCTGAATCATGCCAAATTCTGGATAACTGTGCTGAACTTACCAAACCATGCTCGAGGAGACTGCTTTAGACCATAAAGTGACCGGCGCAAGCGACATACAANTATTTACTTGTCTTCTGCTGTCAATTTTCATGAACAATTCCAAAGCTTCTCTTTCACAGCCATTAAAGTCTACCCCAAATTCTTTACTAAGCTTTATAATGTTCTGGTGCACCCAAATAGATGCTTCAAACTCTAGGTCTTCTTCAGGTTCTAAAGATCGTTGGTTTAGAGGCACTGCCACTTCTATTGCCCATGCATCTCCTCTATATGTTTCTGCTTCTTGTATCTGCATGTTGCTGTTCTTGCTTGTTTCTACTGTTGTTCCTTCATTCTCTGCTTCTGTTACTGTTTCATTAACCTCGAGCAGCACCATCTGTTTTGTTCCTTCCTTCTCGTCTTCCATTCCCTTTGCTTGCTCTCCTTCTTCTGTTGCTTCATTGTTGCTTTTGTCTCTTAAATTCTCCGCCAGTACTAGTATGTTATTCTCCTTCAAAGGCTCGAACTGGATGGCTTTTAATTCTTCATGGAAGGGATCATATCTGGGCCTAACTGTGGCCTTATTAAAGGCCTTTTCTTCAGAAATTTTTTGGGCCAAAAAATCTGGGCCCATTCTCTTTACTGTATCAGTCTGTTTGGCCTTGTTATAAGGTTTTAAAAACTCATGTGACAAGTCACGTGAGGTACTAGGTTTAGACCAAGTATCCTCATATCCTGTCATTACTGTATTACCTCGAGCCCCTCCCACTGTGCTTTTGTTACACTCTATTACCCGCTGATGTTTTACCCACTGGTTCAAACTGTTATCTTCTCCATTCTTACCAGTGATGGACCTCGGCGGCAATTCACACCAGATCTGCATTTCAAAGACCATACCTTCAGATTCCACCTTCACGGTTTTAGGAGTTGAAGAACCATCTCCATGGACCTTTAATCTTGCCCATTTCAGATGGTTTTTTAATTCCGTTTCCTCCTCTGTTTCAATCCAACCACCACATACATCTCCAATTTCTTTGAACACTGTTTGAGACCACAGATGAAGAGGAAGCCCCACTATCCTTATCCATGTGTGCTTTATTTTTGTCAGGGTCAGGCTTGTTCCCACCATTGGAGACCACCATTGAAGCTTCACTTTAAACTTCTTTCAGAACCATTCTATTTTCAGAACTTGGTCGGCTGTAGCTTTCGATGAGAATTCAAAGAGGAATCTGTGCTTGTCCATCTCATAAATGTTGATTTCCTTTGTTTGCTTCCAAGAGTATGAAGCCCATTTTCGAACCTCCGATAAAGTCACTATTTCTGGGCTATCTTCCGGGAAGAACCCTACCAAGCACCTACCCAGCAGCTCATTGTGTTTATAGTTCCCAGATATATGAATGATGCCTCCATCTTCATTAACTTTTGCATCATTCAATTCTCTACCTACCCATTTATGGTTCCTGACAATGTTGGAATATTGAAGCCCTTCAACCTCCTTATAAGCTTTAAAGACATTTCTCCTCTCCCCTCCATTAATGAACCTTTCTATCTTCAATGCAATTTCGAGCCACCCTGCATTGAATGCTGCCTCTGGTACAATAATGACCGATCTTCCCCTACCTATTACCCCAATGATGGAAATATAACGACCATAACTATTGAAATTCCTTGCACAGTATGTCTCTGATGTTTTATCTCTGGTTTTCCACCTTTTCACATAATTACCTTTCACCTTTGATGCTTCTTTCATGTTATCACACAGCCACAACATCGATTTTCTGCTGAATGTAGTCCTTCTAATTAGGTTCCTTCCACGCTCTGTCCATTCAAACCATTCTTCAGAATTTGTTGTACATCTCTCTATCTCGTATGATTTGAAACCCACCGCAAAGTATATAATGTTTTCCTTCATATTATAACTAGTTTGGAAATATCTTTGTATCTTAAGGAAGAAAGGGGATTTTCCGGCAAGAAAGACGCCGGAAAGGTTACTCTACAGTCCTAGAAAGTAGGAGAGAGAGTGTCCTAGGGAACTATGCCTGGGAGCATTTGATTTCTGTGAGAAAGCACGGGAGAAAATATATTATTGATGTATTGACATATGTTACAATGAGCCCTATATATATACACACATAACATGTCCTACTCCTAATATATATTGGATTAGGGTTATTTATTTACTCCTATTTACATGACTATTCTAACACTCCCCCTCAAGCTGGTGCATATAAATCATATGTACCGAGCTTGTTACATATGTAGTTAATACGAGGACCAGTGAGAGACTTGGTGAAAATATCTGCAAGCTGATCATTCGACTTCACAAACTTTGTAGCAATATCTCCCGAGAGTATCTTTTCTCTAACAAAGTGACAGTCAATCTCAATGTGTTTAGTTCTCTCATGGAACACTGGATTTGACGCAATATGAAGAGCAGCTTGATTATCACACACAAGTCCCATCTGACTAATCTCACCAAATTTCAACTCTTGAGCAACTGTTTGATCCAAATTAGCTCACATGTCGCCATAGCCATCGCTCGATATTCTGCTTCTGCACTAGACCGAGCAACCACATTCTGTTTCTTGCTCTTCCAGGACACCAAATTTCCTCCTACCAAGACACAATATCCAGACGTAGAACGTCTATCAGAAGGTGATCCTGCCCAATCAGCATCTGAGTATCCAACGATCTGCTCATGGCCTCGACCCTCAAACAATAAATCTTTGCTTGGAGCTGATTTTATATACCGAAGAATGCGAACAACAGCATCCCAATGACTATCACACGGAGAATCCATAAACTGACTCACAACACTCACAGAAAAGGAAATGTCAGGTCTTGTCACTGTAAGGTAATTTAATTTACCAACCAACCGTCTATATCTTGCAGGATCGCTAAGAGGCTCCCCCTGTCCTGGCATAAGTTTAGAATTCGGATCCATTGGAGTGTCAACCGGTCTACAACCTGTCATTCCTGTCTCTTCAAGAATATCTAAGGCATACTTTCGTTGTGAGATCACAACACCTGAGCTAGACTGAGCGACCTCAATACCCAGAAAATACTTTAGTTTGCCCAGATCCTTAGTCTGAAAGTGTTGCAAGAGATGTTGCTTCAATTTAGTAATACCATCCTGGTCATTGCCGGTAATAACAATGTCGTCGACATAGACCACCAGATAAATACAGAGACTCGAGGCAGAATGCCGATAGAATACAGAGTGATCAGCTTCACTCTGAATCATGCCAAATTCTCGAATAACTGTGCTGAACTTACCAAACCAGGCTCGAGGAGACTGCTTTAGACCATAAAGTGACCGACGCAAGCGACATACAAACCCAGGTGGTTGCTCCATATAAACTTCATCCTCAAGGTCACCGTGTAAAAAAGCATTCTTAATGTCCAGCTGATAGAGGGGCCAATGGCGAACAACAGCCATGGATAGAAAAAGGCGGACTGATGCTATCTTAGCCACAGGAGAGAAGGTATCACTGTAATCGAGCCCAAATATCTGAGTATATCCTTTGGCAACAAGACGAGCCTTAAGACGATCAACCTTACCATCCGGACCAACCTTGACTGCATACACCCAACGACAACCAACAGTAGATTTACCTGAAGGAAGAGGGACGAGCTCCCAAGTACCACTCGTATGTAAAGCAGACATTTCGTCAATCATAGCCTGTCGCCATCCTGGATGAGACAATGCTTCACCTGTAGACTTAGGGATGGAAACAGAGGACAAAGAAGATAGAAAAGCATAATAGGGTGATGACAAACGATGATAACTCAAACCTGACATAATGGGGATTAGGATTAAGGGTGGCCCGTATACCTTTCCGAAGTGCAATCGGTTGATTAAGAGGAGACAAGTCCGCAGTATTAGCAGGGTCGGGTGCAGGACATGAATCAGCTGGACCTGATGCTGGGCGCGGACGACGATGATATGTCAAAAGTGGTGTTCCTGTGGCAGGGAGTCTAGGAGGAGCCACACTAGACTCCTCAACGGTTGGAATGGATAAGACTTCTATAGCGGAAGGTGAAGGAGGAGCTATAGGAGACTCGGGTAAGACTTCTGTGGCGGAAGGTGAAGGAGGAGCTATAGTAGACTCCTTAAAGGCCGGTATAGGTAAGACCTCAGATATATCAAGGGGGTCAGAAAGGTCAGAAGAGGTAAAGAAAGGTTTAGACTCAAAAATGTGACGTCAGAGGACATAAAGTACCTACGAAGATCAAGTGAGTAACAACGATATCCCTTCTGAACACGAGAATAACCAAGGAAGACACACTTGAGAGCACGGGGAGCTAACTTATCTTTCCCAGGGTCTAGGTTATGAACGAAACAAGTGCTCCCAAAAACACGAGGGGGAACAGAGTATACGGGTGATTGGGGAAACAGTACTGCATACGGTATCTGATTCTGGATGGGAGAGGAAGGCATCCGATTAACTAAATAACAAGCTGTGAGAACTGCATCGCCCCAAAAGCGCAGCGGAACATGAGATTCAATGAGAAGTGTGCGAGCAGTCTCAATGATGTGCCTATTCTTTCTCTCTGCAACCCCATTTTGCTGAGGGGTATAAGGACAAGAGGTCTGATGAATAATTCCTTGAGAAGTCATATACTGCTGAAATTGAGAGGATAAATATTCTAAGGCATTATCACTGCGAAAAGTGCGAATGGAAACACCAAATTGATTTTTAATTTCAGCACAAAAATTCTGGAATATAGAAAACAACTCAGAACGATCTTTCATTAAGAAAATCCAAGTACATCTTGAATGATCATCAATAAAACTAACAAAATAACGAAATCCCAAGGTTGAACCGACTCTACTAGGACCCCATATATCAGAGTGAACTAAAGAAAAAATAGACTCTGCGTAACTCTCAATACTACGAGGATAGGAGGCTCGGGTATGTTTCCCGAGCTGACATGACTCACACTCTAATGTGGATAAACTAGACAAACCAGGCACCATCTTCTGAAGCTTGGATAAGCTTGGATGTCCTAAACGTCTGTGAATTAGGTCCGGAGGATCTGTAACTAGACATGCCTTGGAGGATTTTAGGGAGTTAAGGTAGTAAAGCCCTTCTGATTCAAGTCCTGTTCCAATCGTCTGCCCTGTACTGCGGTCCTGCATAATAAAAGAATCATCAATNCAAAGACATGGTTGGATTATCACTAAATAACAAAAAAGAATCAACTGAAAATTCTCTGAGACAGATGAAGAAAACACTGTGTTTGCCGGAAAAGTACTGTAGCTGCCGGAAAAATCAGTGTAGTCGCCGGAAAAACTCAAAGTGGTCGGAATTAAAAAATAAAAATATGGACAGGCTCGGAATTGCAGGGCGATCCAACTGTCCTGAAGAAGCGAAGCCGAAAAATGGCCGGAAGAGGCCTCACGCGCCGGCGCGTGGGACAGACGCGCCGCCGGCGGCAGAGTTCCGACAGGCGCGTGACGGCGCGTGGAGGGCTATTTTCCGGTGATTTTTTCTGGGGTTTGGTCGGATCTCTCTTGGGAACCTTGTGGTGGTGTTGGATTTTGCACAACACTGTTAATTAGTGACTTTGACGCAATAAGTCACTTAGGTCACCGGAAAATTGCACGGTGACTGAGTTCTTTCTTCCCGGAAGTCGCTGGAATGATGCACAGCGATATGTTTCTCACTAAAGCTCTGATACCATGTGAGAAAGCACGGGAGAAAATATATTATTGATGTATATACATATGTTACAATGAGCCCTATATATATACACACATAACATGTCCTACTCCTAACATATATTGGATTAGGGTTATTTATTTACTCCTATTTACATGACTATTCTAACACATATCAACTTATTTAATATTACTGAGAAAGGAAAAAAGAAAAAGGATTAAAGTACAATTCATGATATAATTTATGAAATTGTATCATGACTGTAAAGTGTGTTTTGTTCATTAAATTTATGATTAAGTAATATATTTTTACTTTAATTTACAAACAGGGTGTGTTAAGGGGTGGTCAACTGATCACCTTTCGTTGAAAAATTACATTACGTATATAGGTAAAATATTGGGTTTTAGTGGTATGCAACATATATTGAACACTCTTTGTTGGAGAATCTTTTCACTTCTTTCAAGTTTGAACTCCTTTAAGGAAATTCAAGGCTTCGCCACTGTTTACAAACATGAGGTGCGAGTAGATAGTTTTTTGCGAGGCATAACCTACTACAAAAATAACAATAAACCTAGTGAAATCCCACATGTGGAGTTTGGGGAGGGTAGTGTGTACGCAGACCTTACGGTAAAGGTAGAAAGTAGGGGTATTTATAAAAACCCGAAAAGTCGAATCAAACTGACCAAACAAAAATAATTCTCTTTTGGTTTGGTTTGGCTTTGGTTTTGAAATTTAAAAACCAATCAAATTTGGTTTGGTTTTGGTTTTGGTTTTGAAATTTAAGAACCGATCAAATTTGGTTTGGTTTTGGTTTTGATAAGAAAATAACCAAAAAAAATCAAACCAAACCAATCGACTATAGAAGTAGCTATTTAAAATTTATTATTACACCTATATATATGTGTGTATTTTTATATAAAGTTTCTAAAATTGTATGGTACGTGTTAATCGTTTGCATTTTTAGTCTAGTTCTTTGCTATTACAATAATATAGTTATTTGCCTTTACATTTTAGTTTGATTGATAGTTTTCTTTTGCTAATACAAGAATCTATCATATTAAAATAATCTGTTTCTAATTGAACCTTTACATCATTCATCACTATTTGATTCAATTATTATCAATATATCTTGGTAGATGATAGATTTCTCAAAGAGCAATTGGTTTGATAGTGTTACGTCGAACATGTAGTCCCCGGAATATGTTTTTGGTAGTGTATGTCTCATATTTAAGAAAAAAATCGATAAATAACCGAAAAAATTGAAAAATCAACATAACTGAACTGATAAAAGATCGGCTTAATTGGTTTGATTTTTGGTTCAAATATTTGAAAAATCAACTTACTTAGTTAATTTCTTTTTAAAAAAAAGTCGATTCAAATCGAATCATGAACATCCATAATAAAAAGATTATTTTTGATAAACGCTCAACTCAAAAGAAGGAGGATAGAGACACATAGCCTACTAAGCGGGTGAAATTTAAAAATAGCCATATTTACAACTGGTCGTTCAAGAATAGCCCAGTTTCAAAAGTAATCGAAATTTAGCCACTTTTCATGTAAAGATAAATCTGAGCGAAAACACTGTTCAAAACCCCGAAAATTATGCCAGTATATTATGCTGGAGTTCCAGCATAAGTATACTTAACTCCAGCATATTATACTGGAGTTCCAGGATAAGTATGCTGGAACTCCAGCATAATATGATGGAGTTCCAGCATAAGTACACTAGAACTCCAGCATAATATACTGGAGTTCCAGCAAGTATACCGGTCCACCATAATATACTCGAGTTTGGAGCACCGGTGCTCCAGTCTCCAATATATTATACTGGAGCCAGCAAAGTATACCGGTGCAACATAATATGCTGGAGTTCAGACACAGGTGCACCGTACTCCAGTATATTATGCTGGACCGGTCTCTGTTGCAACAAAATAGAGGCTATTTTTCATTGACTTAGTAAACGCTGGCTATTTTTGAATGACCAGTCCGAAAACTGGCTATACCGTGCTATTTTGACCTACTAAGCAGCTAAATACGTGGTTCAACACGGTCCATAATTTCATACTTCAGAGATAAACGTTTCCCGATAAAGTAGATTTTTGACTGTATTATCATCTTTGAGGTATATATATTGTGCACTTTCTTCCTCATTTTATGTCGGATCCAACAAAGTTTTCTAACAATATCCATTTTTGGCCTTTCTTGAGATATTTTTCCAATTTGTAAGCATCATTTTCATATCTTACGCAATTTGTGAGCATTAAATACGTAAAGTTTTGCATTTATAGCATGGACAAAGTCCAACTAGCTAAGATTTAAACACTTCAATTATGACTTCAACAGCCAGCAAGAAAAAGAATTATAATGCCAAATGACACCATCATTCCAGCACCAAAAGCCATGCCTATACAGTATATATGAGTATGAGTAACACAGCCGAATCTAGGATTTTAGTTCTACGGGTTCTACATTTAAAATTATGCGTTCATATCTATTATTTATTGAAATTTTAGTAATTTTTCACACAAATTTATGCTCCACATCGAAAGTACTGAGTTCAGTTGAATCCGTTAGTTTTATGCTGCATCCGCCCCTGATAAGTAATATACACTGTAGTACATATAATTTTTATATTATTACCAAAAAAAAAAAATTTATTTCATCAGATTGTCTTGATTTACTGTAACAGGTAATATATCTTATTTTCAAGATTACTAATTCTGTATTTTAAGAAAGCTTATATGGATCGTAGATATCTCTTGGATAACCTGATATTATAAATAATTATTTTTTACATTAGCAGCGTGTATAACTTAAACTCTATATATGTTCTGTTGTCTGTAGGCCATTTTTAATTTGCTCTTTTCCCTCAAAGGCGGCTACGAACTTAGAAATGGGGAGCAATTTGATAAAATAACTTCAAATCTTTGTATATCCGAGTTGAACACAAGATAGAGTTTCATCAGTGAAGTTCATATATAGCCATGGAAGATGCCTTAAAGCACATCAAAATTCAAGAAAATTATGACCAAGAAAACAATATTATTGAATCATCAGTATTAATTCCTGGTTTGCCAGACCACTTAGCTCATCTTTGTCTTTCCAATCTTCACCCTTCACTTCTTTATGGTGTTTGCAAATCTTGGCGACGCCTTATTTACACCTCAATTTTTCCTCCTTTTTATTGTCTTTATGTTGTATGCTCTCCACCTACTTCATCTAGTAGTAGCAATAAGCAATATGCAAAAATCGATGATGATCAAAATTCTGTGGAGTTTTTCTGCTTAGATCCAATTTCATCTAAATGGAAACCTCTACCAAATCCTCCTTCAGATCCACCTATTCGTGTACTTCGCCGTCATCCTTCTTTTATATCTAGAAGTCTTTCGATTCAATCTTTAACCGTATCTGAACGTATGGTTCTTATTGCTGCTACTACACACAAGTTTCTACCTGCACTTGAACGTCCATTGGGATTTAATCCATTGTCTAATGAATGGTTTTTTGGACCTCAATTGCCTACGCCACGGCGATGGTGTGGTACTAGTTCTGTAGATGGCAATGTGTATGTAGCAAGTGGTATTGGATCTGTATATGATGGAGATGTAGCAAGGTCTCTAGAGAAATGGGATGTGAAGAAAAAGGCAAATGAATGGAAGTGGGAAAAAATGGCAGGATTAAAAGATGGAAGATTTAGTAGAGAAGCTGTTGATGCTATTGGCTATAGAGGGAAACTATGCATGGTAATCTCATAACTCTGTCACTATCTCATTCAAAAGTTTGACTTTTTTTATGGCCGGTTAAGTAAGTTCTTTTTTTTTTTTTTGGGGTTTTAGTTTAATAATGAATAGCGATGAAATTTTATATTGTGCTATAGTACTGCTATAATGTCTTTAACCAGAAATTTTATTAAGGGTATTAGATAATGTCATAATTGCCACTCATTACCTGCTTTGACTGGTTGTGAAACCAGAATTTCGCTAATTAGAGGGTTCAAGATTTAATGTGTGTATAAATAATAGTACAATATTTAACCTATATACAGACATATTAATTTTTTGTATACCAGTATAATTCTTGGCGAAGAATGTTCAACTGACCATTCTTGAGTCTATATGCTCGCGCCACTGGCTTTAACATTATTTGAGTTGTGTGATCGGTTCATCTAAAAGTAGTTATGGAAAAAAGTATACTTTTATTTACTTAATTATATTTTTAACAGGTAAATATCAAGGGACATGCAGTAAAACAAGGCGCGGTTTACGACATAACAAAAGATGAGTGGGAAGAGATGCCAGTGGGAATGCTAGCAGGATGGAATGGGCCAGCAGCAACAACAATAAATGATGAAAGTGAGATGTACGTAGTGGACGAGACAAAAGGATCATTGAGTAAATATATATCAGAAATTGATGAATGGGAAGAGTTGATTGAGTCTTGTGATCATTTGAAAGGTGCTGAGCAAATTAGTGTTGGAAGAGGACGAGTTTGTGTCATTTGTAGTGGTGGACGGCAGATTGCGGTGGTGGATGTTGCAGTAACGCCAGCTAATGTAATTCGAGTTGTGAATACTCCGCAGGAGATGGAGGCAATTGCTTTGCATATATTGCCAAGGATCAATATTGTTTCAGACTGATACATAGTAATATTGAATTATCAAAAGAAACAAGAAACAAATTTTACTGATCTTGAATTTACAAATTGCGTCAAAGCCTCCTATTTTCATTTACATTTCACTCTTGTTCATCTAAAAAGATAACTATAGGTGAATTGTCTATAAAAATCAAAATTAACTAGTAATCTGAAAAATAAGGCAAGTTACATGCTTCAAATTAGCTAGTAATCGGATGACCTAATAGCCCGATGCACTAAGCTCCCTAAAGGTCGTCGAACCATATTGATCTTATGTACCTTGCCTTATCTTACATTTCTATAAGAGACTGTTTCCACGTCTCAAACATATGACCTCTTAGTCACATGATCTAAATATAGTAAAAATACACTGACATGTAAATGTGTAGGTTATTAATATTGTTAGATATTGTAGATCTAGAGGAGAGATAAAAATGAAATTGAGTGTTACATCTGAGAGAAGCATGATATATTTTCTTATTATTTAGAGAAAAAATGAATCCCCGGTCTCTCTGTACAAAATAAAGAACAAAGTAACAAATATAAATAGTGGGCCTGTTACCCGGTGGCCCAGTTACAACTGATACGAAAATAGATTGGGCCACTGCTAAAACTAACTATGACTAATTACAATAAAAGGCCCAAACAACCATATCAACCTTTGTCTTCTATTATTCTAACAGCCCCCCTCAAGTTGGAGGGTGGGAAAACCCCCAACTTGCGAAGATGGAAATGATGAGCAGGCCTAGGGAGCACCTTGGTAAGTATATCAGCAACTTGAGCAGCAGTGGAAACATGAGCTAAGCTGATCAGGCCATCACCAATCTTTCCTCTGATAAAATGACAGTCCAGCTCTATATGTTTGGTCCGCTCATGAAAAACAGGGTTGCGAGCAATGTGCAATGCAACCTGGTTATCACAGTATAAAGGAACAGGAGCAGAAGAAGGAAGACCAAAAACAAATAATAATCTGGAAAGCCAAGCAACCTCAGCAGCAACTTTACTCATGGCCCGGTATTCAGCTTCAGCAGAGGAAAGAGAGACCACAGGCTGTTTCTTAGACTTCCAACTCACCAAAAAGTCACCCAGAAACACACAAAAACCAGTAACAGACCTTCTACTATCAGCACAAGAAGCCCAGTCACTGTCACAGTAGGCTCTTAAACCAAGGTCAGGAGAATTACTGAAGAACAAGCCAAAATCAGAAGTCCCTTTCAAATAGCGCAAGAGATGTAAGACAGCCTGCATATGAGGAATACGAGGGGTTTGCAGGAACTGGCTAAGGTGCTATACAGCAAAGCTGATATCAGGTCGAGTGTGGGTTAAAAAATTCAACTTGCCCACTAAACATCTATATTCCTCAGACTTGGGCAAAAGATCACCAACAGAAGCCTTTAACTTCTCATTGATAGTAAGAGGACAAACCACAACTGAAGAGGCAGAAGAGTTAAAAGACTCTAACAAATCATGAGTGAACTTCTTTTGGTGAAGAAGAACACCAGAATCACAATAAAGCACCTCAATACCCAGAAAATAGTTAAGGGAACCAAGGTCTTTAATCCTGAACTGTTCATGTAGAAAGCCTTTTAAAGATGAAATCTCAGATAGATCAGTGCCAGTCAAAATAATGTCATCCACATACACAGCTAAAATAACCAAAGAAGAACCAGAACCCCTAGTGAAGAGGGAGTAGTCATTCAAAGAATGAGAATATCCTCTAGAGCAAAGAGCTTGAGACAACTTTACATACCATTGTCTGGAGGCCTGTCTCAAACCATAGAGGGATTTGAGTAGTTTACAAGCCAAAGTAGGAGAAGTAGAGGAAGAAGGAGAAACAGACAAACCAGGAGGTATTTTCATGAAAACCTCTTCATCAAGATCCCCATGCAAGAATGCATTATTGACATCAAGTTGGAACAAGGGCCAGTGCTGTTTTACAGCCATAACAATCAATGTTTTCACAGTAGACATTTTGACAACAGGGGAAAAGGTTTCATGAAAATCAACCCCTTCAACCTGAGTATCACCTCTAACTACTAACCTGGCCTTATACCTCTCTAGAGTCCCATCAACCTTATATTTTACTTTATATACCCATTTACAGTCTATAGGCTTTTTACCAGGGGGTAACTCAACAATATCCCAAGTTCTATTTGCCTCCAAAGCCTCAAACTCCTGCCTCATGGCCTCCTGCCACTCAGGGACAGCAGCAGCCTGTGAGTAAGTGTAAGGCTCAGGGATGTGGAGCTGTGAAGTGGTTACATTGAATGATAAAGACTCAGAGCTAGAAGAACCAGGGGCAGAAATGGAATGAGGAAGATTGGAACAAACAAAATCCTGAAGATAGGTAGGGACAGAATGAGGTCTGCTAGACCTCCTAAGAGGAGGAGGATTAGAAGATGGAGCAGAAGAAACAGGAACAGGAGAGGGTAGAGTAGAAGGTGAAACATCAGAAGGAAGAGTTAGAGATAAAATAGAAGGAGAAGAGATAGGGATAGAGATGGATGGAGAAGTTGTTGAAACAGAAGGTATAGAAGGGGCAGAAGGATCAGAAGTAGGAGTAGGTATAGGGGAAGGTGAATCATAAGAAAAATGATCAGGAGAAAGAGGAGAAGGCAATGCAGGTGAAGGAGAAGATGTAAGAAAAGGGAAAATGTGTTCATGAAAGATGACATCTCTGGAGACAAAACAAGACTTAGTGGTGAGATTGTAGAGTTTGTAACCCTTTTTGGCAAAAGGGTATCCTAGAAAGACACATGGAATAGATCTAGGATGAAATTTATCTCTATGGACCTTAGGCATAGTAGAATAACACAGGCAACCAAAAGACCTAAGATGGGAATATGTGGGAGCCTTGCCAAAAAGTAATTCATAGGGACTCTTGTTGTTGAGGAGGGGGGAAGGGAATCTGTTTATCAAATATGTGGCAGTGAGTAGGCAATCTCCTCAAAACTTTACAGGAAGATGAGATTGAAACAAAAGAGCCCTGGCAGTTTCTAGCAAGTGTCTATGTTTTCTTTCTACCACACCATTCTGTTGTGGAGTGTGTGGGCAAGAGGTTTGATGAATAATACCTTTTTCAGAGAAGAAAAATCCTCCAGAAGAAGAGGAACCTAATTCTAAAGCATTGTCACTCCTTACAGTCTGGACTCTAGTGTGAAATTGGGTTTCAACCATGGAAATAAAAGCTTTTAATAGGTCAAAAGCATTGTCACACTTGGGCGATTTTGGAGCTTCACAAAAGTGGGGTTTCAACCTAGCTATTGAGAGTAAGTAATTTCTACCTAATGTGATTTTAATACCTAGATTATGGGTAGATTTTAACATGTAAATTTGTGGAATTTATGGGTTAGGTGGAAAACCTAGGTTTTTGATAAAAATGAGATTTAGCCACAAAATTGGTTATGGAATTTAGTGAAAATCATATATTGGAGTTCATGAGGTTATGGGTAACAACTTTCTTCAAAAACTTCCGAAATCCGGGCATGTGGGCCCGGGGGTGAATTTTAGGAATCTTACATTTAGGGTTGGGTAATCACTACAATAGTTGGAATATGAACTTTTGAACTTGTATTGATTAATTTATATACCATTTGATTAGTTTGGATTGTTCGACACCGAATTTGAGTGCTTGAGCATAATCTTGGACCGGAAAGTAGGGTTTGAGACGAGGTAAGTCTCTTTTCTAACCTTGTAAAAGGGAATTAACCCCATAGGTGAATAATTAATATGTGCTCCTATTTGTGGGGGCTACGTACGTATGAGGTGACGAGAGTTCGTACGTAGCTACTAATTATGCTATTGTTCGGGTAGTCTAGGACTCATATCACGCTATACTTGAAATGTTTGCACCCTACTTGTTAACGTAATTGCCTAAGTTATATTGAAAATTGATAAAATAATTGTAAAAGGTTAAATTTTGCTTACTTGACTGTTATTGAAAAATTTGTGTTTCTTTAAAATATTGTCTATTTGTGGAGGGGGTCAAACGCCTCGGTAGCAGATAGATGCATCTATGGTTCGTGTCGTTCGACCCTCGGCAGTGCAGAATTTAAATATTATTACGTTGGATCAGGCCGTACCTCTGCATAATTTGCGCATGATAAATCTTGAATCCAGTTATAATTGATACTATTCATTTACTTGAGACATAAATTGTTAAAGATGGAACGTAAACTTGAGATATATTCTTAGTGGAAAAAATGCATATTATTCCTGTTTCTGAGTTCTCTGTTATATTTATGTAACCCGTGCTTTATTTATCTTTCGTACCAAAAAAAAGTTATTATTTTGGCATCTTATTGTTAGCCTATAGTAAGTGTCAAAGTCGACCCTCATAATACTTCTTCGAGGTTAGACTGGATACTTACTCGGTACATGTTGTTTATGTACTCACGCTACACTTCTGCACTTAAATGTGCAGGATCAGAGGCAGGTGCATATGGATATCAGTTCGGTGCGCATACTTGATCTTTGTTACGAGACTACACGGTGAGCTGCCCTTCTGAGCCGTTCTGCAGCAGCCGGAGTCTTTTTTTGTTTATTGTTCTGTCTATTTCATTTCAGATAGTAGAGAAGTAATCTTTTGTATATTATACTAGTAGCCCATACACTTGTGACACCAAGTCTTGGTACACACACTAGTAGACTTGTGGTTTTTGTTTTATTTCTATGCTTATACCTGCACTCAGCTCATTCGTTTTAGTTAATTATTTTGAAACCTGTTATTTATTAAATCTTTTAAATTAAGGAAAGTTATTTACTTAGCAAACTTATTAAAAATCGGAAATCACTAGATTTTTCACTGTTGGCTTGTCTAGCAACAGTGCTGGGCGTCATCACGACCTATAATAGAATTGGGTCGTGACAATGAATAAAAATTGCACGGCATCACCCTTCGTGCTTTTACTCTCCACCTCACCATGAAACAGTAATAATGGCACGGCATCACCCTTCGTTCTTTTACTCTCAATGTCTCCATAAATTAATAAATACGGCACGGCATCACTGTTCCACATATTCAGGGTGTGGTCAGAATTCTAGGGCCTCAAGTTCTCAGTATAGGGGTGAGTCAAGTCAGATAAGCTCGCCCTTGCCACGATGTGGCCAGTGTGGTAAGCAGCATGCCGGGGCAGTGTCGTATGGGGTTGGGTGTTTGTTATACTTGTGGTTATCCATGCCACATTATGAGGGATTGTCCAACGAGTGGTGATCCATGCATAGCTCAGCCAGCGGGATCTGTAGCTGGTTCGTCATCATCAGTACGCCCCCCTGGGCAAGGTCCACAAACACCAATGGGTCGTGGTAGAGGCCGAGGCGGAGCATCTAGCTCGAGCGGTCCTCATAACCGTATTTATGCATTAGCAGGATGACAGGATGGTTTCCCAATCCCCAAAGTCTTGAAAACCGAATAGGGCATCAAATTTATACTTGCCCCAAGATCACAAAGAGCATTATCAAACTCGGCGCTTCCAATTGTACAAGGAATCGTGAAAGCACCGGGATCCTCAAACTTAGGAGCCATTGAATGAACAATTGCACTCACTTGATGATGACTTTGATTGTCTAAAAATTCATTGACCGCTTCTTTGTCGCAAGTTCTTTCATAAACTTTGCATAACCGGGCATTTGTTCCAAAGCTTCTACCAATGGCACATTGATTGAAAGACTCTTCATCATTTGAATTAATTTCTTGAATTGATTCTCACCATTTTACTTGACAAGTCTTTGAGGATATGGAGGTGGAGGTTTAGGCAATGGTGCCTTTTCCTTTTGCACTACCGGCTCCGGTATGTCAATAATGAGTTCCCTAGACAGGTTCACCTCCTCTTGAGTCTCTTCCATACTATCATCAATATCAATCCAAACTTCCTCAATTGGTTGAAAAACATTGTTCCGGATCTCTTTTTCTTGCATCACTTGGTCATTATCAACAAGTCGCCTTCCACTTGAGGTGGGTGGATTCCCGCCTCTTCACTTCCTGTGATAACCGCCATGGCATGCCCCGTATTGTTACTACCCTTTGTGTTTACCACTGTATCACTTGGTAGTCCTCCATAGGACGAGAATTTGAAGCTTGAGAGATTTTTCCTATTTGAACTTCTAGGTTGCGGGTATCATTCAGACCCATAAGGAACTGATAAACCTTTTGCTCTTCATCCTCAGCAGCTTTTCCTCCACAAGTACAAACTCTGATCTTGTAGGATGCAATCTCATCCCAGAGTTGTTTAATTTTGTTAAAATACGAGGCTATGTCTAAAGACCCTTGGGAAATATGAGCTAATTCTTTCTTTAGCTCAAAGACTCTAGCCCCATCAGCTTTACCATATCTCTCTTCCAATTCACACCAAATTTCCTTGGCAGATTCAGAGTATTCTACACTACGAGATATCTCTTTTGACAAAGAGTTGATCAACCATGAAACTACAAGATCATTACATCGTTGCCATTGGCGAGCCAGAGGAGATCCAACAGGCGGCTTTGTAGAAGAATCGCTAATAAAATCAAGTTTATTTCGAATAGAGAGAGCAACCAAAATATTTCTCCTCCAGCTGCCATAGCAGGTGCCATCAAACGGACTAGAAACCAAAGAAGCTCCTAGTACGTCTGATGGATGCACATATAGGGGATGACAGGGATGTGTAAAGTCATCCTCATGAAACACAGTGCGAGGCACAGTAGATGAGGAGGAAGTCGTGATAGCAGGATTATCATTTGTCATTGTGAAAGTACAGGGTAACAAACACAGTATCCAAACTAATATTCAACAAAATAAAAAATGTGAAGAAGAACTGATTTACCCCCCTCTTTTGTAACCGAAAAGAGAACATCCTTGTAAAATCGAAGAATAGGCTTCAGGCGGCTCAGCAAAATGACGAAGAAACCCTAGCTCGAAGTAGTCGAAACCCTAGCTCGAAATAGTCAGAAAAACATTCAATATCTCCATCAAAACTGAAGATCCAGTAGAAGTAAGCAAAATATTCCGAAAATTTCCAGCAAATTCGGACAAAAACCTATTTCAGCATGAAATCAACAAAAAAAGGGCCAAAATTCGACGAAAAACGATGTGATTAACATCAATCGGAAGCAAACGAAATGAGCTATCAGGATCTATGCTCTGATACCATGTTAGATATTGTAGATCTAGAGGAGAGATGAAAATGAAATTGAGTGTTACATCTGAGAGAAGCTTCGAGAAGAAGAGAAGCATGATATATTTTCTTATTATTTAGAGAAAAAATGAATCCCCAGTCTCTCTGTACAAAATAAAGAACAAAGTAACAAATATAAATAGTGGGCCTGTTATCCGGTGGCCCAGTTACAACTGATACGAAAATAGATTGGGCCACTGCTAAAACTAACTATGACTAATTACAATAAAAGGGCCAAACAACCATATCAACCTTTGTCTTCTATTATTCTAACAAATATATAAATGTAATTCTCATGTTAGCAAAACATAAGAGAGATACTGAATATATAAAGAAATAAGGCTTAGATTCTATTAATGCGTTTTAAAGTTCTCAAAGAGCAGACTTGCAAATAAAAAGTACTTCTGAATGTTCTTCTTCAATTCTCTTTTTTCTTTTTTTGTTCTTACATTGGAAAGAAGAAAATATTGAGTGTTCCCTGCTTCGGTTACACATATACTAAATCAAAACATTAGTTTAAATAAAAAAGTCACAGAAACTTTACCACTTTTCTTCAACAAAAAGCAAAACTTCCACGCAATGATCACACTTCCAGTAGATAGGAAGGAATATGCACACCGAAAGGCATTTGGTTATCGAAATTCGAATATTAATTTCGGTAAAAAATTTGAGATTATATCTATTTGGAATAGTTACCTCCTATAGCAAAGGTTGATAAAAGTTTCTCTATTTATTTCATGTTTTGTTGTTGATATTAACTAAATCCAGTATAAATTCTTTATTCAAATTTTAATATTATCTATTTCATATAAGATGTGTGAAATTATAATCTTGAGATTATAATTTTAAAATATCCTCATTCCAAACCAAACAACCCAGTCTAGTGCATATAATATCTTTAAGAAAAGCTGGAGTTTGTTATATTAGCACATGAGAATCAATTATTACAAAATTCCTTTCTTTATGAAGCATACTCAACAAACTTTAACCTCATGCGAAAAAAGTTTGTCGCGTAGCTCGAGTTCCTGGAAAAGCTTTGCACTAAAGATTAATTAAATTATAATAAAATGAATTGATAATAATACTTTACAAAAGTTGTGTCCCTAGATCAACTAGGACCACCTAAAAGTAAAGTCTTATATGTCACGATTCACAATAAAGATAATACTCCATTTCATATACGAAAGCAAAAGTCACACCAAGTATATATAGACGTGTCTTTAGTTAATTAATCAATGATATCTTTTGTACCAAAGCCACGATCTTTGAAAAGGCCATCATATATCACAAGGAATTCAAAGTGTTTTTGTGTCTTTATCTATGTGGGGTTTGATCTAACCATATGACACAGCTTGCATAAAGTGCAACATATATATCCTTAATTAACCGAACAATTGTTTTTGTCTCTTTTTTCTTTTTCTTTTTTCTTTTTTTTGGTCTCTTTTTGAAGAACTAATTATATTTGGCTGTCTACTTCACATTTCTTAGAATGTGGCCTTTCTTCATTCCGTGTAAACACGAAATGCTCTATGTACTATTCATATATTTTAATTTACATTATTTCTCAAGTAATTACTCCTACTTTTTATAGATAGTTATTTATATATAATTAATCTTTTAGATGATATAAATATATAAGAATAATTAAATTCTCAAAGAGATATCAAACCAACCCCAAAATTGCTTCTATCCCTAGACCTACCCATGGGGCACAACTAGACCTTTTCTTAAACCCAAGAGGCCTAACATAACTACACACAGAATTTAAAGGGCCCCCTTAAAGATTTACTTTCATCGTAGAGCTTCAACGTATAAAAAAATTTTCCATTCATTATACAGTTTGAAAGGAGCCTTGGAATAACAATAGTATTATTTCTGTGTTATTTTTTTTTTACAACCTAAAATTCATGATGGCACCTAATCCAACCCGCTAGGTAAGCCAATTAACAATTATTCATTTCCATTTAACTTAATAAAATAATTAAACAACAAAACTATCTAAATCTTATACATTTCCCAATGACTGGTAGTACAAATCATGAGCTTCTAAGAATAGAGTTTACAAAGCTGTGGTGAAGAAAATACATCTTCTGTTTGAAAAGTACATAAACAGAATTTTATAATCTAGGCTACCGTGAACAAGATGCAGCATAAAGCAGGAACACATGTACGCCTTCTAATCCAGCAACCGTCGAACGCGGACATCCGGGATCTGTACGCAATGTGCAGGAAGTGCAGTATGAGTATAACCGACCCCATGTACTTAAAAAGTAACATAACCGACCCCATGTCCTTAAAAAGTAACAAACCTAACCTTAGGTTGAAAGCAGTAACGAGCTGGAACATAGGTCGGGTCCAACACCAATAACCAATAGCAGTTCATAACAGTGTAGAGCAAGTACAATAGAAGTAGCTCAGAGATAGAATGTTCAGCCTTTTTATATTTTTCCAAAAATAGTTCCGCCTTTCAAGAATAACAGTGAAAAACCCAAATTCTTTACCGAAAATGTCATGAAATATGAGATAGTTTGTAAACTGTATTTCTTTTTCACAATAAATAAGATATTTCATTTTCTTTCCAAATAACAAGTGTGAGATACCTCTCTATGACCACATATCAATATGTATAAAAATGTCATGAATGACGTGATACCGTACAACATGAGGAAAATGCATCTCGATGCATGTATGTCATATATGCATGCCAATGCCATGTACCTCAGAGATGAATCATGTACTCACACTCTCAGAGTACTCAACCTCACTGTATCACACTTTTGACTCATCATACTCAACCACTCAGTACTGTATATGGCCCACATGGCCCAGGGAAATCCATTCCGGAACATATACAACACTGGCTATAAGTTACCCAGTACCGAGGAAAGGCCATTCCGGCTCCAATATATATATATATATATAT